CGCCCCTCCCGAGGCTCAGCCCCGCCGCGTCCTGGCTGAGGCGGCAGCGTCGCGTCCTTCCCGTCGTCTGTGTGGAGGAGCGCGCCAGCCGTTGGGGGTCTCCTCCCCATCGGTGCCGTTTTATCTGGCTGCTCGGCCACGACTTGTCACTTGGATTTTAAGGATCTTAAGAAAATGAAGTAACTGACTTCCGCCTTGGCCAACATCCCGCTGTGCTTCTCCCGCCTCCTTCGCCCCAGGCCCTGCCGGCTTGGCCCAGCGTGGCCCATTACTGCTCTCCTCATGCTGGCAACGCTGGCCGTCTCCCTCAGGGCTTGCCTGAAAGCTGCCTGCGGGGGTCTGCTGGATCTGCAGCCTGATCCAGGTCCGAGTCTTGGATCTGCAGCCAGGGTCTGCTTCAGAGCTGGCCTCAGTGGCCTGCTGGCTTTGCTCTTCCCGCCTGCTTCCAACCACAGGTTCAGCTCCCTTTCCCCTTCCCTTTCCCCTTCCCGAGAAGGACAGGGTATGACATTCATTGTTCTGCAGCTCCTTCCAGCCCACTGATACGTGATGGCTTCCAGGGTAGGGAGGTGCCCCAAAGCCTGTCAAGGAAATATTTCTTTGACCCTTAGAGTAGCTTCAGAGGAAGCCTGTGCTGAAGCTGCCTTGATTCACTAGATGACACTTGGCATTTGTGCTGTGGATCATGAGTGGCAGGCACGTACTTTAAAAAAATGCATCTTCCAGCAAGTTTGTTGCTCGGGCTGGTGCTTCTCCAGTCTTTCCTGATGCTTGAATTGCATATTTTTGCATCAGACCCTAGCCGCCATGGGACGGCCTTTGTGAAATAATTTGGTTTAATCAGCAAATACTAACTTCCCAAAATCATCACCACGAATGGAAATTTCTTTGGCAATCTCATCAGAACAGTTAAAAATGAATGAGCAGGCAGCTGAATTAATCTCTTTCCACCTGGGAAGGATGTATACTTTACTGCTGTTCTATGGAAACAGAACTTCAGTTTCTGGAGCCATTAACCACAGCTGTTACATTTCATCCAAAAATATTTAAAGGGCTGTGGAAACAGGAAGTACATAATTTTTTAATATTTTCATTTATATACCTTGATGAGTGTATTAAGTTACAGGCTGATGAAAAACATTGTGACTTCCATGGTATCATTCTTTCCTTCTGACTGTTCACATTACTCTGATTTACTAAAGTACTTTGATACCACAATAGGACCCTCTTCATATCTTTTTTACAGTCAATGTTGACCTACTTTCTCTGTCTTCTTTTACCTTCACCCCTTTAGATGTCACTTTGCTTCTCAAAAGGAATCCTTAAACACCTTTGACCTTTTGTTATGGTATCTTTTCTAGTTTATCTTTGGATTTCTTCATGTTCTCCTTTTCTTTTTGATCACACCAAAGGATTGCAGACACTGAGCAGCTCCTTAATGTGGGAATTTTGAAGTAGACTCTCTGAAGCTTATTCTGTACAGCACACCAAAGTTACAACTGCTCTGTGGCTCAAAATGCTTTGAAGGAAAAATGGTTTAAAAAAAACCTCAAGGGTCTGACCCGAAGCCCTCTGACATCAGTGACCTGCTATCAACTTTCGTGAGATTTCAAGCAGAAACTGTATATTTCAGTAATGAACTTGATTACATCTTTTAAATTAAAAAAAAACAACCACCAAAAAACAACAGTTCAGTAAATAGCAGTCATGAGTATACTTCTGATTAAGGCGTAAACAGGTTCAGAAAATGTCACCAGCCCACACAGGCACAGCTACTGAAATCTCCAGTGAGGGAAAAGGTCCTCAGTGCAGAGTCACATCTGTAATGATGCAAGCTGCAAAGGGTAAATAATAAAAATAGTACATTGTAAGATTTTGTGAATAACGCAGGACCAGTGTCTGCAATTGCAGGAAGCTCTTTAAACCTGGGTGCAGTGTGCGTGCCTGCGTGGTGCTGTAGCCACCGGGCCCCTGGAGAAAGGTCTGTAAGCATGGAACTTGCTTCTGCGCCCCGTGAAGAGAGGCCCCTGCTTCTCATTCTCGCAGCACAGTCCCGCTGGGAAAGCTCTCCACAGCTAGGGAAAGGAGCAGGCTGGTCTGTCAGCAGAGGGAAGGAGAGGAAATAATAAAGGCAATTCCCTGGGAGATGCTGAGCAGAAAAGACCTTTTGACCTGACTAATGGCTGACATACGAGACTCATGTACTGGATCAATTGCTTGGACAAAGGCAAAGGGTGCCTGACTGCCAGGAAGACTGCAAAACCGCCGTGCCTGTGGAGCTGCAGGGGGCTTGGTGTTGAGAGGAGGGCACTTGGTTGCTTGGGTGGAAGCAGAGGCCAGGAACTGAATTTCCTGTGGACATGTTTTAGACTTGATAGGATTTGATTCAGACCCGGGGAGGGGCAGTTGTGATGTTTTCATACAGCCTGAATGGGACTCTCATATTTGATAGCTAGGTAATGTGGCACTGGATGTGTTCAATATACAGGGCGAAGTCCTCTCTGTCTCTGCCATTCTGCCAGCGGCTTCAGGGCAGCGAGGATTTAATTCAAGGCAGAATATAAAATGATTTGCCTGTAAAAAGCAGTGAAGCCATTAAATATCATTTTAAAGGTGACTCGTGTCATTAAAAGTGTATCTGTCAAACACCAGAAAATGAAACCACGGGGCTTGATTTTGCTTTTGCCAAAGTCAGTGTGATTCCTGCTTCTGATCTGAAGGCAGGAGGACTACCTCCCTCCCAAACCCTTGAGTCACACGCTCATAAAACTGGTTGTGAAAAGCCTCTTGCCTGCAACCCAAGCCTGGAAAAAAGACGGGGGGGGGGGGGGGGGGGGGGGGGGGGGCGCGGGGGGGGGGGTGACTCACGCCGCCC